ATCGTCTCAATTTTTTCATCCTGAATGACTTTCGTATTGATTTTCGAAATGATCTGTGAAAATTATTTGTTCCAGCACGAACGCCCGTGTTCTGGCTTATATGAAATAATTGTCTGAAAATTACAAAAGAATGACAATTGATAATATTAAAACACTTGCAAACACTTGTCACTGAAACACGTAATTTTAAAAGAACAAAATTGTTTATTCAAATAATCAAATTATTAGTAGTTTTAGAATCACAGCTTTAATATAGAATTTTGTGAAATTAATTATATAGATTATAATATTTATTATGCACAGTTTGATGTGAATAATAAATGATGAGCATGTACAGCATGGAAAACAGACAACAAGTCATTGTCCCCGTTCCAAATTTTGTGATCTGAAATATTAATTTGATGCTGATGAAGTCATTGAGATTAGATTGAAACCATCAATAAGAGATGGATTTGTAAAAAAAATTATGATTAGTGCTTTTACACATTGGGCAGTCATATTGAATCAAATTACAAAAATAATGTTCATGTTGATGTATCTATTGGTATACTGCCTTTGTACAAAATTTAAACAGAAATGTTCATTGCATTCAAGAGAAAGTAGCATGGGTACCATGAAAAACAAAATGGCCACCAATCACCTATATTAGTTTGAATCACAGAAAAAATATGACATGCAACTATAACCCAATATGTATGATCACCATACCAACTTTGATCCAAATTGGCCTAGTCATCTCTGAGAAACAGCTCCAGACATGTAAAAAATGATGATTTAACGCTTTTACAGGAAATTTGAGCGTCGGTCAGCCATATCGAATCGAATCACAAAAATAATGTTGGTACAAATGTATCCCCTGGTATACTATCTTTGTACAAAATTTAAAGAGAAACGTTCATTGCATTCAAGATAAAGTAGCATGGGTACCCTGAAAAACAAGATGAACGCCAGTCGGCCATATTTGTTCAAATCACACCAAAAAAATGATGTGCGACCCAATATGTATGATCACCATACCAACTTTGATCCAAATCGGCCCAGTCATCTCTGAGAAACTGCTGCGGACACATTTAGGTATCAGAAAGAGCAAATTTTACATCCAAAATGGCCGCCAGTCGGCCATTATTGCTCCAATCATAAAGTAACTTGACGTGCATATGTAAGACATTATGTATTGTCTTCAAGTAAAGTTTGAATGAAATCCGTCAATGGGTGTATATAGCTCTGAACGTATGTACGGGCGAAATGAACCCAAATTAATAGTCCCCATTTTCGGATTCGTTGTGGACTAATAAACACACAGAGAAAGCAGTGATTTTCATTTGCTCATTACCACAAGATGACCTGACCTATAAGCCATTAAAAGAGTTATTTTTTTTGTGTGTGTTGGAAGGAGATACAATAAACCAATTAATTTCAATTGACATTAGATTCAAATGGCCACAAGGGAACGAGACAGACTCCAAATAGCACTACAGAACATAGGTCAGGGAAACAGTGATCAAGATCACAAGAGAATTGACCACTATTTCAGAGACAAGACAAAGTCTTGTGATGGTCTCTCTCTCAAGAAGATCTTAGCGACTATTTGAGTAACAACAAATTACAACTCGTAAAGTCGTCATATTATGCAAGACTAGTACACTTGTCAAATTACGCAAGGCAAGTGAAGTCGTCAAATTACGCAAGGCTAGTAAAGTCGTGAAATTACGCAAGGCTAGTAAAGTCGTGAAATTACGCAAGGCTAGTAAAGTCGTGAAATTACGCAAGGTTAGCACAGTCGTCAAATTACACAAGGTTAGCACAGTCGTCAAATTACGCAAGGTTAGCACAGTCGTCAAATTACGCAAGGTTAGCACAGTTGACAAATTACGCAAGGCAATTGAAGTCGTCAAATTATGCAGGGCTAGCACATTCGTCAAATTACGCAAGGTTAGCACAGTCGTCAAATTGTGCAAGGCTTGCACAGTCGTCAAATTATGCAAGGTTAGCAAAATCGTCAAATTACGCAAGGCTAGCAAAGTTGTCATATTACGCAAGGTTAGCAGTTGTCATATTACGCAGACAAATTACGCTAGGTTAGCACATTCGTCAAATTACGCAATGTTAGCACATTCGTCAAATTACGCAATGTTAGCACAGTTGTCAAATTACGCAATGTTAGCAAAATCGTCATATTACACAAGGTTAGCACAGTCGACAAATTACGCAATGTTAGCACAGTTGTCAAATTACGCAAGGTTAGCACAGTTGTCAAATTACGCAAGGCTAGTAAAGTCTTCAAATTATCTCATTTTGTACTAACACAATTATATGAATAGAAATATTGTTATCAGTTGGTGACCTCAAATTGGACACATTATGATATTAATATTCAGCAATTAAATACAACTTTCCATAATTTTGAAAACAGTAGCCATTACAACAAGTGAAAAAGACAAAACAATGTTGCAATTATGTGATACACTTGGACACATAGTAAATAGATATAGACAGATAATAAAAACATCAATACAGCCAGTATATGTGAGAATGTGGTACAACTATAATTACAGGAATTATTGTGATCACAATTTAACCTTATTATTTATTTCTTCCCCATGTACACACAATAGCACAAACAGATCAGTGATTATGACACATATGTCTGACAGTGATCAATCATACAGTGTGGGGTACCTACACACATCACAAATTGTAGTGTATATAAATATATGTTGAAAATATCAAAATAAAATATCATAATAACTTTTACATGTATACACATGGTAATTACATTGATTAGGATACAAAGTGTAAATACTTATTAATTTAATTAAACTTGTTTGAATTTCTCCATGTATGTCTGATGATAACATGCTGTTGTAAGCACTTCATTAATGAATACGCAGACCATACAAAAATAGTAGCATACATATATATGGGGAAGCACACAGCTGACCTTACAATAGAATCAATACAATACAAACTATATAAGAATATACACAATACAAATAAACCAACTTTTACTCATCACAGACGTGAATATATTTCGGCCAATTAACAAACACACAGCTTTATCGTCAACAGCGAGAGTGTATGTACATGTACAAAGTACCTGTAGCAGGGCTGATATTAAACTGTTCATGTCCTTGCTGTACATACTACTTTGTTATGCATGAGTACTAATGTTTTGAAATGCAATTGCCTACAGACATAACTCCCAAGTATTCTCATCAATTGAGCTGGAACTACCCAGAAGAAAGTAAAAGCGGTGCATTCATTATCATTCTTTCCACTACCAAAGCAGTGCTCATAAAGAGCTCAAACCTAAACCAGTGATGGTGTGTACATATCATCAGCATTTGCAGGTACTTATTTAAATATATAAACGTTGTCCATTTATAAATGCCCTTGCTTTGGATGTTGTTTTCAGTAACAGAAATTTTAAATTCAGGCTGGACTGAGTAAACCAACGACGACACCACCACCATTGTAGTCACTAATCACGTTGTGCAGAACTCGGTTACTATTAGTGTCAGTCTGGTTGGAATGTATGTTATTTCATCATAACCATGAGCTGGCAATAGTTGTCTATAAACTATATTTTTAACAGGTTAGTAGACTGGACAGTCTCTCCGAGTCGAAGTTCAATGATAAAAGTCAAGGGAAAAAAGAAAAACCTTCTCACAGCTGACTGAACATAAAAAACAGTTGTTTTTTTAAAGACAATCCAACACACATGACAAAATGTGTGAAAGGAAAACAACAATCATTACCTCAGCTTCCACATGGTGTTAAATAAGTCCTTGGTGGTACACAAAAATGTGATTTTAACACTCCTTAATACTCCGATGACATGGCCAGAGTTTTGTCAAAGTTTACGCACACACATAAGTGTAAGTGGAGGTGAGAGGTGCAACAGACGAATAAGGCTAATAATATGCTAAGTCCCATTAGCATATCACTTTCACTGGGACTACGGGGAACATAGCTGGAAGCACTAACTGGGTCACCATGATGATATTGAAGTCTGGAGCATATTCGTCTAATACAACAAAATGAATGTTTTATATTTTCACTAACTGTATCAAATAGTTGTTTTCAAAATGAACAATGCAATGAAACTGACAGTTGTTTCAGGCCCCCTTCAAATATGTAAATGAGGATCACCCCTCGCATGCCTCAATGGGATATGACAATGTCACCACCCAATACTAACAAGTTAACAATTGGGGAGCAAACAGGGTGATTCGATTTTAACAACAATATGTTCTTTTTGGCAGTGCAGTAGAGTCCACTGACTTTGAAGCCTAGGTTAATTAAATAGCAAATTAGAGCAGTAGTTTCACTGGTACAATGGCTATAGACAGGAAATCAGCACTAAAAAAGGGTGTGTATGTATTTGCCAGAGGGCGAATCTGTGACGTCGAATAATATAAAGGTCAGCAATACCAGGAGTCTGTATTTGTATCATAGTGTATTGTTACATTGGCAGTACAGTTAGATAATTTGGTGGTATCATAGTGTATTGTTACATTGGCAGTATAGTTAGATAATTTGGTGGTATCATAGTGTATTGTTACAGTAAGTAAGTAAGTAAGTAAGTAAGTAAGTAAGTAAGTAAGTAAGTAAGTAAGTAAGTAAGTAAGTAAGTAAGTAAGTAAGTAAGTAAGTAAGTAAGTAAGTAAGTAATTCTTTATTGCTATCGTATCCCATTTGAGATCTTGACATAAAATACAATAAAGTCAAAAACATGTAATAATAAAACAAGCAGCCTATCGGCTGAGATAGCTCCGCTGTTAGAAATGCACATTTCAATTAAAGAACTGAAGACATCATCAGAAAATGAACAATATGTATAGTATCAAAGCAATCGGACTTACAGTTTTTAACAAAAAGTCGAAAATATCACTTTCTACCAAAAAAGACCAAAATATTCACCAAAATTAGAGAATTGAAGATATCATCACGAAATGAACAAATCTGAGAAAGGTCTACATGTAGTATCTATATATGTAATATCAAAGCAATTGAACTTTTGGTTTTTAACAAGAAGTCGAAAATATCACTTTTTACCAAAAATTACAAAAATATTCACAAAAATTAGAGAATTGAAGACATCATCACAAAA